GTATATATATATACCTTATACATTTTACATTTCTTTTTATGTAATTCTGACTTACCTAATCCGTGTAATAGTGGCAATGAAGGAGAAAATAAATATCTATCTATCTATCATGCGAATCATCACTACATTTAACCATAACAAAATGGAAAACTTAATTGATATTAGTGATTATGTAATTGCAGTTTTCTTGGACTTGAAAAGAAAGATGCTATATAAAAGTGTTTTATCGCTTCAAGTATTGATGACACTTGGTCGATCTTTTGCCCCCAACTGCACATGAATATTTACTTTTACTTTTTATATCCCAATCTCCATTATTGTGGACCAAATTGCTATCTGATAATATGTAGAAAAGAAGTGTTTTGAAGTGAATATAAGAGAACTTTTTACATAAATTTTATTTTACAAATGATGCCTCGATTTTTGACATCAAAACACCCAAACAAATAATATTTGATGATTTTGCTCACTTAAGTAGTTTTATCTATGGATCCATATTTTTAAGCAACTGAAAATCTCATGGTGGACAATCCAACCTGTAACAGTATTTTAAAAAGTTTGTTCATTTCTTGTATATAATTTTAGGTTTCAGATCTGTTATGTGTAGAAATTATGAAAAATATTATCCAAACTTTATCATATTCATTTTTGTCAAGATATACAAAGCATTTCTGATTTTCATATTTTAGGAACTCGACGCTCTTGCAGCACATTTGAACGAACTCGGGGTCCAGCAAACTGCCCAACCAGAAGCTCCTCCACGAAATAAGAATTACAAACAGGCTCAGTCGGCAGCTAACAATAATGTATCCACTCCTAGCTCTGCTATTAACCATATGCCTAGCAACCAGCCTAGCAGTAATAACGTTGACAGCGAGACAGATTCAGAGCCGGAGGATAACGGCAGAGTGAGAAATGATGGTACGCTACTGGCCAGTGACCCGCCTAAGCCCCTGTAAGTATTCCAGTGTGGAATATTATTTGAAGAGGAAGCTAGCCACTCAATGCAAAACAAATAAAAAATAAATAGATTTGGAAAGCTGATACACTTATTGAATGAATGAATCGAAGAGGTTTTTGTATGAAAGTGTATAATTATAAAATTATTGCAAAGCGCTTTCAACTTTTGTCATCATCAGTGCACTGATGTCGAAAGTGCTTTGCAATAATTTTATAATTATACACTTTCATACAAAAACCTCTTCGATTCAATAAATAACAAATACTCGGTTTCATTGTATTTGGGTTTTAGCCTCATTTTGTAATAAGAGGGGTGGGGAAAGTGAATTATTTCAATAGTCAAAAGTGGACATAAGGAAGGTAGTACTATTTGTTCATTATGTCGAGAAACTGTCTTCGGAATTAAGCAATATAATTTATTTTGCCACTACACAAGTAAGCATAGTTCATTAACTGAAGCCTGCCCTTTAGAATCGATTGAAAGAAAGAATAAGATAACTTATTTGAAATCGTCCATTTATCGTCAATAAAATATAATGACAGCAGTCATGCAAAATGAGGCTATTCCAAAAGCATTTTACCAAGTGTGTAACATTCTTGCTAAACACATGAAACACTTTACTGATGCTGAATTGATAAAAGAGTGTATGATAACTGTTTCTCAAACATTGTTTCAAAATTCTTCTAATAGTAAGCAAATCCACCTGTCCTGTGTAAAGATAGTTCCAAAAATTTGCTTAAGGCAATAATTATTGACAAACTGAAAAACTGCAAATACTTCAGTCTTTGCATGTGATTCCAGTCGGATGTAACTTCTATGTCTCAGTGCTCAATAACCATGATGTCGTAATACATTTTTTATGGCAGTCACTATTTTCCGGGTTTGAAGGCCATGGATTTTTGGAATGTCTTCCTGGCGTTTCGCTGGCGCGAGTGGCTAGCTTCCTCAGAGGTTTATACGTCTTTGATGACCATCGGAGATAATAACTCAAGATGTATAAACTGAGGAAACTAGCCACTCGCGCCAGCGAAACGTCAGGAAGTGAAAACCTCAGCCACGAAAGCCTTAACCATTTTGTCATTTTTTATGGCATTTACAACAAAAACCACGCCTATAATAGCGTAACGAATCTGAAGCCGCCCCTAACCGATATGTCGGCCAGCGAACAAACACATGACATCACCGCAAAAGGAATGCAGTCGGCAACCGTCGATTAAACTCTAGTTGAGTACCGAAACGATCGTTACCGACATAAAAGGCCGGCTTCTCGTCCAGAGAGGGCAGTTGTGTTCAGAAAGTGAAACAAGCAGTTAAACAAGGAATTCAAATACTGGAAATAAATTAAGCGTTAGTTGCTAACTGTTGAATATAAATTAGTTTGTGATAGTGAAATATTGTTGTAAATAAATTTGTTTAAGACAGTTAATTCTTTAATTTGTTACAATTGGTGATCAGAAGTGGAATTGTAAAATAAATCTGTGAGCGTTTGGTGGACAATCTTTTTATTGCTGTGAAATTGACTATAAGACTTATTTGTTCGCGCAGAGAGACTGGTGATTCGTTGTGTTTAGCGAAGTGGACACTACCGGACTAAGGAAACATAAACTGATAGATTTTTCTCGCGAAAAATAGACTTGTGAAAGTAAATAAGTGTTTCGGACTCGATTAAAATAAGTGGACATATTCAGTTTTGTGGAAAATAGACAATTAGAGACAAACTACAAGCTTGTGATATACTTTGCCACTAAATATGCCACTAAAGTGTTGCAAATGTACAAATGATGTAGGAGATGAAGCGTATTTCGAGTGTGATTCCTGTAAGAGGGATGTTCACTCGAATTCACTCTGCTCTGAATTATCAGCCACCGAAATCAAGTATATGCAACTGAAAAATAGGGTCCCTCGATTTTTATGCAATGATTGTAACTGCGGCCTACAGTAGATTTCTGCTATAGTTAAATCACTCGCAGATCTAAAAAACAAAATTGAAGCCCTGAAGAACAAGCATCAGATTCCGGAACCTCCCACCCTCCAAATGAAAGAAGTGATTGCCGAAATCGCAGACCGGGAATCAAGAAAAAAAAAAAGTGATTATTTTTAACCTTCCTGAAAACGAAAACAACCGAGAAGATAAATTAGCCTGCACCGAATTTATTAAATGTATAAATCCTAACATTGGCTAAGATGATGTGAAGATGTTTCGAATTGGGAGAATAAATGAAAACTATACTAAACCTAGGCCTGTAAAAATCGCATTTTATTCGGCTGAGAAGGCGAATGATATCAATATACAATAACAAAAATATAAAATCCATAGATAAATTCAAAAACATATTCATTACCTCTGACTCCGTACCAAATGAAACAGTATCAAGATATGAAGAAACAGTTAACTGACCTCATGAATAATGGTGAGATAAATCTCAAAATAAAACATATAAATGGAGAGCCGAGAATGATGAAAAACCACTAAGCTCGTCTGAAGAGGAGTCCCTCATCAATGTACAGTGCTACTATCAAAATGTCAAGGTCTCAATACAAAAACAAATGACTTTTACAAATCATCTCTGGAGCCGATTTCCATATCATTGCCATCGCAGAATCCTGGATCCAATCCAACGTTTACAACTCGGAACTCTTTACTGATAATTATGTGGTCTTCAGAAAAGACAGAAACTTCGAAGCATGCTCCGTATCTAGAGGTGGTGGCGTTCTGTTAGCAGTGAGAGATGACTGTCAGGCTGTTGAAATTGATCTTTCTGAATTCGAGGGTAACTTCTCTACTATATTGATGTCATAGGTTGTAAGATTGTATTCAAGCACAATATTTTTTTTCATGTTTGTGATTTACATACCTCCAACTACTAACGAAGCTCATATTCTGAAATTATTTGAAACTCTAGAGTCACTTGAATGTTTATATGATAACAAGATTCTCATTACAGGTGATTTCAATATACCAAACTATTCAAACGAAAATCTCATAAATGGGAATCACAACTTGGACAATCTCCATCAATTCAATAGTTTATATGATCTAAACAAATTCAATTATCTGCTTAATATTTCAAATCGTTTACTTGGCCTTGTCTTATCTAACTTTCAATGCTCTGTATCACACGATAAACTACCCCTTCTAACCGAAGATGGCTATCACCCAGCACTGAACATAATTTTTGAATTCTCATCACCATATAACTCATCAGAAAGCAGGTATAACTTTCGTAAAGCTAATTTTCCACTTTTATATACTCTGATGCAAAATGTTGACTGGTCGCCCATCGACCATTGTACAGAATTATTAGTCAGTGTGTTCTGGTTAGTCACAACTTAATTAGAAAATATCCTCCCAATAACGAAATAATCAACGAAATTAAAAGAAAAAATAAAATTTTTAGAAAACTGAAAACTACAGACTCCGGTATTACCAAAAAGAATTCCGATCTCTTCGTCGATCCATCAAAACAAAAATCAATTTAGCATACAGAGAATATGAAAATAAATCTGAAAGGGCAATCAAAGAAGATCCTACCAATTTTTGGTCGTGCATTCAAAATAAGAAAGGTATATCAAGAATTCCTAGTATTCTATTCTGGGACAATGTTGAATACAACAATGCCTCTGAAATCGTTAATGCATTCGCACAATTTTTTGAAAGTGCATATTCTCCACCCCTACAATCATATGAACACACGAATGTTACCTCAAACAATCCTATCATTTCTTTAAAACATTTTTCACTAATTGAAATCTGCAATTCTCTCAACAAACTAAAACCAAAACTCACAAGCGGGGATGATAACATACCTAGCTTTTTCGTTAAAGATTGTTCACACCTCCTTGCCATACTATTACAGTCAATCTTCATTCTAGCACTGAGTACAGGATGCTTTCCTAACAAATGGAAAATATCAAAAATTTGCCCAATTTTCAAAGCTGTTGCCATAAACAATATCCAAAACTACCGACCTATAACCTTGTTATCAAACTTTGCAAAGGCTTTTGAGATGTGCTTGTACAACAGAATCTTTCCTGATGTTAAGAATTCAACACGGTTTCGTTAGCAAAAAATCAACAATAACTAACTTAATGTGCTTCACACAATCAGTAAGTAATGCACTTGATAATAACCTACAAGTAGATACTGTCTACACAGATTTCTCGAAGGCATTTGACAAGTTGGATCATAACATTCTTATCAATAAACTTCACCAATATGGATTCAACTCCCAACTCTTAAACCTTTTCCGCTAATACTTAACTGAACGTATCCTATTCGTAGATTATAGGGGTCACAAGTCGTTCCAATTTATTGCAACCAGTGGTGCCCCTCAAGGAAGCAATTCAACACCTCTTTTATTCTCACTCATCATTAACGACATAGGAAATACTCTCTCTAGCAATTTCTTAATCTTTGCAGATGATTTGAAAATCTTTCGGCCCATTACATCACAGGAGGACTGCTTAATCTTACAAAAAGACCTTGACTTTTTGTACATTTGGTGTACCGAAAATAATCTTCCCCTCAATACAAACAAATGTAAATACTCAAAATATACTCTTAAACATAATGTTATTTCTCATGATTACTGCATAAATAACACACCTCTTCAAATAAGCACTCATCTAAGGGATCTTGGTGTCACATTTGACCCTAAACTGAGTTTCTCCATCCACTATGACACAATAACGTGCTCAGCCAAACAGGTGCTAGGGCTCATTTATCGCAACTGTAAGAACTTTCGTAGCAGAGACAGTTTTTTAACTCTTTTCAATGCATACGTGAAAGTTATTCTACTATGTGAGCTTATTACAATTACTGTATTACTGCTGAATTATGTTTTTTTTGTGATACACCTGAACTATGTTTTTACTTGTTAGCTCTATATCTGACTTAAGGTTTTTTTCAATTACTCTCCTAGCTTGCTGCACACAAGTGTTCCACCTAATTTTTTGCTTAACTCTCCTAAATGTTTACTTTATTTTATTTTTTG